TAATCCATAACTTGCCTAACAAGGACTCCCCATGCAAAAATGGTTGTTTGTCTTCAAAGAAATGCTTTTGGAGAGCTATTTTGTGGTAAGTCACTCAACGTTACTGATCCTCATTAGATTAGAAAAGTACATGCTTTCCCTCCAGGAAGAGTATGTAAGCGTTGGAATTCCTAACATTAGAAATGATTGAAACTGAGTGGTTTGAAATGGTAATTTTTCCTATAGCTGACATTTAAAAGATGACAGGGTTTTTTTCCCATGTCCGTTCTCATTACTTATCAGAACTGACTGTGTGATTTACATCCATAGCAAGTAAAATGGAAAGCCTGACTCCTTTCAGGCCACTGTCTCCCATCTCCTCCCCCTGCTGCTGTTCCAGCCTTTACCAAACACCTGCACTGCCACCTTCTGCCTCTCTTACAGATCACAGCTGAATTTCCACCACGATTTTTTTTCTCATCCTGCCAAATTCATGATGTATGTCCTAGGAAAATTTGGAATACAAAGAAGAAACCGTGTGTGCGCATGCACAGTCAAGATGGTCTGTAAATTGATTTTTGTTTCTAGCTGGTCTCTATTACAGATGGCAATTGCACCATACCTAATTCCTAGCTCTAATTTAGAGGAAGGGAACCCTACAGTGTTGCTCCCCATGACCCAAAAAACTGTAATACTTTGCTCGGCTACTGTTAAGTCAACATATTGGCCAACGATTAGGCACAAGTATTTTTCCAGGTTTGCTCAACAGCCTGATTGATACAGGCAGTGTCTGAAATAACCAAACGGGTGCTGGTAGAAGACAAAGCTTAGACCATCAGTTGGTATAAATCAGGATTTCTCACTTCGGAGAAGCTACCCTGATTCATACCCAGTGGTTATCTGTTTCAAGTTATCATGTGGACTGTGCTGGTTGTGTCTGCTTAGGAAAAGGAAACCCAAGTGGCGCATGTCTGTGGATTATGGATGGATGAAAAATGTCCTTTTCTTTTTCTTTCTTTCCAGTTGAAATATTAAATACAAAGTTCATTTGAGAAAAAAAAATATCTGAAAGCTAAGTGAACACAGATGTACTTTAAACCCTCTCATGTTGCTCATTTAAAAGAATTCTTGGTATTTTTCCTTTCCTGATTAAGGAAGGGGTGCCAAAGTCACCCTCTATTTAGGAAAATAAATGTTCTTCATGAACATGCTAATTCCTGCAGCAGCCAGCCCCACACGGAGTGGTACTTCCAAGCAGGAGCAGAGTTCCTGGCCCCAGCCCTGCAAACCTTTCAAAGAGAGATGGGCTCACCACTGTCTCCTGGAAAGCACCAGAGCAATTATGAAATATCTAAACCCCAACCTTTAACAGAAAACCAGTTCTTGCAGCCTGAGAGACTTGATGCATGCAAGAAAAGGTTGGAAAAATTTCCCCTGCATTGTAAACGTGATTTCCCTCAGCATGCCGCAGCATGGCTAAGGGAACAGTGGCATCTGGTGTTTGCTGAGTTGTCTTACAGCCACCGCTTCCCAGGTGGGTGCTGGCAGGCTTCGCTGGGCGTGGGCAGGATTTGGCTTCCCACATGCAGGTATCTAGTGGTACCTGAGACCTGTAGGACGTCAAAGACATCTGTACAAGCCTCCAGGCGTGATACAGGCCATATGAGAGACTCAAGCCCATCTGAATGGCAGCTGTCATTCCAGACCATAGAGGTCTGGGTGATGCATCAAATGAGAGAAATCCAAACTTGCTTCTAGTGAAGAAGGTAATCACTCTTGTTGGGGGATGAATTCCCTCCACCCAGGACCATATCGGTGATGCAGCATCACCAGGGAGCCTTTGTCTTGGATGCTGTTTGAGATTTATATATTTTATGAAATCTTTATTCCGTCTTTCTCAATGGAGAGGAATTCACTGCTAAATGAGGTGCTCTGGTCCATTTGGTGAGGCAGCCTGTCCACCCAGGGGCCTATGACACTTAGTCTGTGCTGCAACAGTTCCAGGGTGTGATGCTCAACTTTGTGTGTCTGACTTGTTTTTACCATTTGAACATCTCCTCAGTTTAATCTCACGTTCTCAATTTGAGACCCAAAATGCAAGTGCTGCCTAGGAGCCTTTCACCTGCCAGGGATTTTTAACTTGCCCAAAATCTAGAATGAGTTTCACTGGGAGATGTTTGTGCTTCTTTCCCCATCTTTGTTCTTGCCCTTAAACAGGATAGTCCCACCATATCTGCTGTATAGATGTGGGTAACTTTTCCTGTGATAGAGCCTAAATATGTCTTTTAAACACCTCTGGCAGGCCAGTATCAATAGGCAACTGGGCAGTTATCTGAACCTTATGGTGAGCGTGTGCCGTCTCTGGGTTCCAGGTGGAGGGTCCTCTACTGCTGGTCCCCAAGACACAGCCAAAGGCTTGCTTGGAGACAAACTAAGCCGTGTTTTCTTCTCCTGTCAGCAGAGGAAGCCCAAATCTGAGCAAAACAAAAGTTAAAGATGTGCATCTCCCTGGTAATTTCTATGCAAATTAGAAAAGGCAAATTATTCTCTTCATTTTACTAACTGAAATTCAGTTATCAGTCTTCTACCTCAAGTGCACGAAAGACAGGGCACTTCCTACTGAGATGAACAGAAGGACTAACTTGAGCTTGGACCGCTATGGAAACAATTTCTGTTGGTTTCTGTAATTTTTCAAGTCGCAGAGTTTTAGAAGTTCTGCATCCTTATACTTAACCAAAGGCTATTTTGCAATATTTGCAGGTTCCCCCATGACCAGTTTTATCTGAGTGCTGGGACTGACAGACCTTTTTCTGTTCATGTTGTGATCAGTACATAATTTGATGCACAAGTCCGCAAGCCTGGTTACTCCTCCCTGCTGTGCAGAAGTGAGCAGCTCCACTCTGATCCGATGCTGCTGTTAATTCCTGCTCCTCCCTGTGGCTGTGCTCAGAAACTCAGTGCTTCCCCCGCACAGGGCCTTACTTCAGTAGCTAAACTCATTCAGAGATCCTAATTATTGTCTCTTTTAGGCAGTTTCTGTCCTATTAAGTTACAACAAATTACATTTTGTTGACATCAGAACCGGTTTCACAGCTACAAGTGACAGCAAGGGGTGTTTCTGCAAAGGCACTGCTTAACAGTGACCTCCATCGCCCAAACAAGCAGCACCACAGCTAACAAGGTATCCCTTCTTCTCACCCACAAGATTTAGAAACTCATCAGGTGGTTTTATGTAACACGTAGTAGTATAAAGTGATAACATCCCAAGGGCTGACTTTCGGGTGGTGTCATGTATTTTGGCATGGTGTTCGTCGGACCGCAGGATCTCTGTTCTGCAACAGTTTGTTCAAATCAAACCCTGGAGACACCACGCACCGAAGTTTGTTTTCTATAAAAACATCGGAGGTTTTCCAAAGTGCAGCTGAACTTCTGCTTAAAAAAAAATCAATGGGAACTGGGCACCTAGCTCCAAATCCCACTGAAATTAAATTCAATCCCCATCATCTCCTATGAAGACTTTGGTCTTAGGCTGGCAAACAACCCTACTCTTGCAAGTCAACGGGCAATTTTAACTGTACAGAGAACAGGTTGCAGAGACATATGCTCTACAAATACCCCAGCCCTTTTGCTATCAGCAGTCCAGAGAAATGCTGTTGCCTGAATAGGGTTACAGAGAGAGTAAGAAACGTTGGTTTTGTAATGTGTTTTGTTTATTAAACTCAGTTTTCACTGATGTCCTGAGTTGACAAAAATGTTTCCCAGGAAGACTGACAAACAGAAACAATTAATAAATATATATATATATGTATTAAACACTGTATGTGTTTTGTTTATTAAACTCAGTTTTCACTGATGTCCTGAGTTGACAAAAATGTTTCCCAGGAAGACTGACAAACAGAAACAATTAATAAATATATATATATATGTATTTCAAACACTGTAGGTATAAACAAATAAAAGCTCTGTTTTGCTATTTTGGGAGGTTCTGTGTAACCAGCATTTTCAACTGGCCAATTAGCAGCACGTGTTAATCAGTGAAGAACTTCCACTTGTTTTTAAAAGATCAAATCCAGTGTTTTAAAATTATTGCTCATTACCAGACAAAACCCCAAGATATCAAGGGTGTTCATTAAAAATCTTCATTAACAGCAGGGAGGGTATACATTGACAGTACATGCAGCTTTATATTGGGGGGGTTTTAATGCAATTAAGACCAAAACTTTCAGAAATTAATTAAGATGTTGGGAAACCAATCTGAGGATATTACAGGAGCCAAATTCTCAGCAGGTCTGACCTTAGCACCTCCCTAAAATCTACCTTCTTTTAAGATGTCAGGCTGAGCACCCCCCAACACAAACACCTTCAAACCACTGATGGCAGGGGATACAGCACCCAACTGCGACACTGCTCCAAGGCTTTGCCGCCTGGCGCTAACTCCTCTCCCGACTATGCACTGCTCCTGCCTCTTTGCCAAATCCCCTGGGACCTGCCTGGTGGGGCTGCCACGGGCTGGGGATGAGGAAGAGGACCAGCGCACAGAGAAATGTCATGGAGTTGTAGACGACTGAGGTATTTTTCGTTCCTCGCTGGTCCTCCTGGCTAGCAGGGTCGAGGGAGGGGACAGTGGCAGGTACCAGCGGAAGGTGGAAACATGGATCTCCTCGCAGTGCTTTTAACTAGAGGCATCTCAACTTTTGCAGCTACTGCTAGCAATGCCTTGTGCGGCAGGTTCCCCTCGTGGCTATGGCATACACTACTAGGCTAGCGGTCTCCCACCGGGGCTATGCTACAGCAGTTCTTGCTCCCTTCTGCTTGGGAGCACCTCGGGGCCAGCGTCCGCCTTCCTGCGCCTTCCTGATGGGGCACGGCTCGCTGACCTCCTCCCTCTGCTCCATCCAGCCCACTTGCTTCTCTGCAGGAAAACAAGGAGCGGCACTACTTGTGCTAACCCCTCGGCAGAGGAGCCTGGTCCCGGAGGGAAAGAAACCCGCTGTCCATCTCGCACCATCAAGGCACGTTCCTCAGGGCATCACAGCAGAGATGCACTGCGGGGCCTTCTGGCTATCATCCACTCTCTCCCCGCTGGGTCTCTTTGGATACACCACGCTGGCCATCTTGAAGAACTCATCTGCAGCGTCCAGAGCTATGAGCCGATCCTGCCAAAGCAAGGGATTTTGCAGTCACTACAGGCTGTTTTGGGCAGCTCCCTGGTCAGGGTCCTCCCCCCACAGCTGCTCTCAGGTTAAGCCAGGCGTTATGTCTAACCTTTTCTCACTTTGTTAACAGGCTGCAAGAGCACCCAGTTGCACAGCCTTAAAGGAACTTTTGGGGGCAAATTTATGGTACTACAGCACTGACATTTCCAAGGAAGCTGAACAGCCAAGCTACAAGTGCAACACCTGATGGGGACACCCCAGATGCCACCATGTATTTGAACGTCCTCTGGTGCAGTTCACCTATCCGCTCCCCTTCATTTGATCTCACTTGCAGAGATGGCGGCTGCGGGGAGGAAGGCACGCTTGGAGCTACTCACCACCACGAAGAGGTAGCGCTCAGAAAGCTCCCAGCTGGTCGGGAAGATGTTTGTCTCTTCGGAGAGCTTTAACAGGATGTCCCGGGCTTTGCCCATGTTCTGGGAGTCACTGATGATGCTGAGTTTGGTCACTGACAAGAGGGAGTCCGCTTCCTTCTGGAAACCTGGGAAAGAGATGTGTTACAGAAACGAGTCAAACGTGCAAGCAGGGTCATCCCTGAGCCCTCCAGGCTCTTGCAAGGTTCCTTATTCCCCCTTCACCTTGGGCTGCTGCATTCCCTACTTGCTAAAACAAACTAGCGTTTCCTTGAGGCACACTCCATGTCTGCACTTGGGGCAGGTATGAGCTTGCTGGTGGGGGAAAAACCCATAAACCCATTCAGAGCAAGTTTGTTGCTAGTTTTCCAGAGAAGGCGTATTAACGTCCACACCCAGGGTGCTGATTCAGCTCTTGCATGTTCCTGATGTTGCCAGAGCTTTCAGGGCTGGTGGGGCTTCCTGAGCACCCCAGCGACTACGCCTGTATGTTGTTGGGAGGTAACAGTGATAAAAAACCTGCGGCAGTAATGAATGCATGGATAATTATTCCTGTCAGCATCTCTTATAGGAAGGGTATCCAGAGAAGGAAAGGGGGACAAGAATGAATGCAGGGATCTTTAAATGTAATGGCTACCATTAACTCTTTGTTCAGCTCCAGGGAGCTGGCGGTGATGCGTCTCACCTGAAAATACTTATGGGGAAAGAGTGGTGGTCTTATGATTAAAGCACAGGTCTAGATAACAAAAGATAGCAGGTTTCACATCTGGTTGCACATCTAGCTTCGCTAAGGCCAAATGATCCCTGGCCTTGAGCTTCCTCCACCCTTTGCAAAACAGCTCCAGAGCCATTGTGGACATGAGGGAGATGACTGGGAGAGCCTTTGACAACATGCAGTAACAGATGTAAGGATGTCAAGTGATCCCTCCCATGTTTGGTCTGTAGAGGCTGCGCAAGCACCTGGGTGAAGATGAATGCTGATACCTAGTTATGAATTTATAATGTTCCTCCCATCCAGATGCCAGAACGGCAGGTAGGGCAGGAGCGGCTGAGATGATACCCATCTCTTTTGCTCCCAGTGATAATATCCTTGAACAGCCCAACAAGTATGCTGGACTCGTACATCCTCCTCTCATTAGCTCCCAACCACCTCCAAGGCATGATGCAAGTCACCGAGCTGATGTGCCAGCACGGCCCATCTCCTTGGCCTGAGTGTCACATGCTGTGTGCAAGGCAATTGGGAAAATCAGGTCACACCCGCCACTGCCTTCTCCAGAGAAGCTCCTGCAGAGCTGAGCACACAGGACTGGTGGGTGCAGTTCACTGTTTGCAGGCTAGGAAATAGCAGGAGTAGGAGGGTCACTGTTGAGCAATTTCATTTGATGAAAGAACATTTCAAATTCACTTAGGAGCAGACGAAATGGGTGGTTTAGCTCTGATCAGCTGGCATGGGCTAAGGAAGGAAAACAGATGTATCTGTGTTTCAAATCTGAAAGGAATATTTATTTCGCCCTGCTTATCTTGTTTAGAAAAAAACAGGGTGAATTCCCAGGTATCCCTGCTAAGTTTCCACAAGGAAGCTTGAAATGGATGAGTGTGCATGCTATTATGGGCTTGAAAGGCTCTCCCGCTGATGGTGGTTCATGGGCTTTTTGATGTTCCTGCAGACACGGTGGCCCCATCTCCTCCCAGCCGTGCCTGAGCTCCGGGGAGTCTCCCGCAGGCTCTCAGCTGCCATGTTTGCTACCTGACAGCATTGCTCAGCAACCTTGTTTTATTTTCCTCCCTTTCTCCTCTACCAGCCTGATTTTGTGGAGCTGTTCCCATCCTGAACCATCATGGGACCTCTCACTCGGTACCACAAAAATGACATCCTTTTGTCCTCTAGCTTACCTAAATCCTCCAAAATGTGTTTCCACCTGCTTCTCACTTCTTTTCGGGTCTGCCGTAAGGTATAAATATCATAGTTGAGCTTTTGCCATTCCTGCAAAGCAAAGGGATAAGAGATACTCAGTCATTTGCATGTGGGGAGGTCTCTGCTGCTTTTCTAGGAATTTCAGCTTTTAGAAACGGAGCCAGAGTTGAACTGTTGATGTTGGCACTGAGGGATCAGTGTGAAGGTTGATGGCCAGGCTGCTGTTGCCCCTGGAAGAAATTACACTGACGAGCGTAGAATATTTTAGCTTAACATTTGGTACAGCATCTCTGTATCTTCCCTGCATGTACAAAACAGGCTTCCAGTTACCTTGAAATTGGATTACAGAATCTAGCTTAGGCGTTGCTGATTACCAAAGTGGTCTCCTCGGTCAGACAGAATATAATTCCAGCTCTGTGCTGGAAATTATAATGCTGTCCTAGGCTGGAGAACAACATGAACTTCCAAATGTAGTTCATTTGAGAGACTTCAGTCTCTTTGGTCCAAAGCCCTTTACCCCAAACCTTGACACCCCTGCTAGTATCAAAACCTGAGGTTGTGAGAATGCCTTATTCGGCCTTTCACAGCTTGAGAAAGCACAACTAGGTATTAATAACTACCTTCTATAAACTATTGCAACACCTTATTTTCATATCCTTGCAGTTAAACTGGCATGGCACATTTTCTTACAGCTGATGATAGCCCAAGGGAAACTAAAAGTTTGGAAAAAAGTTACTGCTCTCAGTTTGGCCACACATACAGTGGCTTCTCCAAACTGCTCAGCCCTCTGTTTGGCATTTAACTGGAGTAGGCAGGTTTTCAAAAGTACTGGAAAACAAGAAAAAGAGACTTTTTTTAAAGGCTGGGGTACCCTTTTTTAAATAGCAGAGAAGAGGGATGCACGTGGATGGTTGAGGTCTGAGCTGGAGTCATTTGACATAATAACTATTCTTGGTGAGGCCAGTTGCTGCAGTTAATGCCTCACTTAACTATACAGCTTAAATCCTTACACTTGACCTCAAGCTTTGTATCTGCATAATGGGACACTGTCTAAAGGGGAAGGTTTTGAGGTTATTTATTAAAGTTATACCAGCACAATTAAACACATCTGTACCAGTATGCATTCCTGTGGAAATGCATGTATTCTGCAAGAAAACCAGGAGTATTTTTCCTAGCTGAGTTTAATCAATGCACACACTGAAAAGGATGCATTTACAGAAGCATCCACACAGCGGGTCAGAACATCACTCAGATAATTTCCCTGCACTAACAACCTTAATTAATTTAATTTCTCAGCAACAGATTACATAGATGGACTCTTGTAGAATAAACAGGTGTTCATCAGTGCCATCTCCCTGGGATTTTCCTATGCGACACACTGGGTTCAAAGGGGTTGAACAATATCCATGAAAGTAGGCTGTGCTTTAGGAATCCCACTGGTTTTCTGATACCTGGTGCCTTAAAGATTTGACTTGATTCAATAAAGAGTTGGAGATTTCTTAGTGTTTTTTTCCTGAACCTGGCCAACGTGCCACGACTGCAGAGAATTAAATGATGAGCCTGTTTTCTTGTTGTTCAGTGATAGCTGCAGGAATCCCTTGGAGATTATGCTTTGGGAGAAGCAGCCGGTGGGATTAAGACACTGGTGAATTCAGGTCAGGAGAGCATGGGAAATGCAGCTCCGCCTACAGCCACTCGCTCTGCACCGCTTGTCCTCCCGGAGAGCAAAATCCCCTTCATTTTTAGCTTTCTGTTGCTGCTCGCAACGAACCAGCTCTGCCGATCAGAGCTCCGTTTCTCTCTTGACTGCAGCAGTACTTGAAAACAGCTTTTCTGTTTGCACAGGAGGGCACCTGGCTGCCAGCGCAAGGCATCAAAACACCTCTTCAGCCCTTCGCTAGAGAAAGGAGGCAGGGACAAGACTACTCTCTCCCAGCTAGGAGCTAGGAATTGAGCTCCTCTCAGTGAAAAAGAAAAGAGGGGGTTTATGGTATTAAAGCTTTGTGGGAAGTTTATTGCAAACTTGAAAGTTTTAAAGAAAGAGAATAAAGGCCGCACGGTGCCACGGTCCCCACTGGCAGGGATCCCTCAGAAACATCTCAGCCTGCTTGTGACCCCACGGTATAAGCGGAAAGGAGAGCAAACCAGTCTGGGCATGCTGGTGGGGAAATAAGCTGCGTGTCTCTGCCCTCCCGCGGAGATAAACAAGTGCTTTAATGCAGACAATCAATCGAGACAGCTGCTGTGATTCCAGGCATGCTTCACGCTGCTGAATTAGTGAGCCGGGGGGGGGGGGGGGGGAAAAGG